GGACCAAGAACATAGTGGTGATCACTGTAGTAGCACTGACTACTACAGTGATTGAAAGCCTCCACAGTGGTCCCTCAGGTTTGGATAAGCTTATTATATTATGCCAAGCTGGACCATCAAAACTATTCAATTGATATACCTGGAGTTCAGCATGAAGGCCTCATGCACAGGGACATATTTAGGCATAAAATATGCCTAGCATGAAAATACCTCATTTTCCCACAGCTGGGAAGCCTCGAGTGGGGCATACAACTGTCCATAGAAGTGAATGCCTCTATACTCATGTAAAGGCAGGCATCAGCATATACTGTACCTGAGCATGATTGTAAAGCATATTTTACCAAACATTTTGGTAATGTTTGGTAAAATATTCCATAAAATCAAAGTGGTTGTAAACCCTTACATAAACCCAGTGAAGTGACTGACCTCAGGTGATACGCAGAGAAACAAATCCTACTACATCAGTTGTACCTCTCTATCTGCAGTCTTCTCTTCGCTACATGCATTCAAAATGCAGCATTTATACAGCTTGTCTGAGCTTTCAGAAAACGGGAGGAAAGCTGAAATTCTACTCTGCAGAACTCAGTGAGGAGAGCTCTAAGAGCTGATTGGAGGGAAAGGACACACCCCCCTTCACACAGCTCACAGGAACAGAGCTGAGGTTGTCAATCAGCTGGAGATCCCTCCCCGTCACAATTTTTTTTCTCTTGATGTCAGGAAAACTTGTCAGAAGTGAATTATGCTGACAGCATAGGAATGAGACAGCAGATAGAAATGACACTTAGTGCTCTTTGTTAAGACAAATACACACTACAGAGGGAAATGCTTTGCTCTTATTTCATGTTTGAGTTTACAACCACTTTAACCTTTACAAAAGTATAGAAATGTACAGCCTACCACTTCGATGGCTGGCTAAACATCGCCCCTGCAGCTCTCAAGGGACAGAGTATTTTGTACGACAGGCATATTTTTGTAGCCTTTATTGAGTAGAACCCTTGACAAAGTCATTTTGACAGAATATGTTAGGGTGGAGGATAGTAACATGCACAGGAGGCGGCTCTGATGGTTAATCCAGGGAAGAGAATTAAGATATCTGTGGCAGGGCGAGTGTCCACCAACCAACTGCAGGACAATGACGGAGTGGATCTGCTATGCTCCAATGTGCTTGTTGTTATGCTGCTTTTGTGCATTAAAAGAATGTGAGTGTGAGTTTATTTTCTATATTAAACCTTGCAAAGCTTTATTACACTATCTGCAATCCCTCTTTATATGGATGTTATGTGAACAGGAAGATTATGTACAAGGGTTGGTGATGAATGTTGAATGATGAATGTTCTAGGAGCCTCCTAGACTTGAGAAAGCACATTTGTCTATCTTCAAAAAGAGAGACAAAGGAGAGGGCAGGAGCGGACTGACAACTCATGGGGCCCCTGGGCAATAGGGGATCATGGGGCCCCTGTGTCCTTGCCCAAACTCAAAAAAGCCTATGAATAAGGAACCAGGGCATCTCATGGGGCCCCCTACTGACCCCGGGCCCTCGGGCAGTGCCTGAGTTTTCCAAATGGTCAGTCCACCCCTGGGAGAGGGTGAGTGCGGTTTCCATTTTGGGCGGAGGCGCACTGGTGTGTCGAGTGGAAAAGTTTCACATCTGGAGAAATCTAAGGACTTTATTCACACACATCAATGGATGCAATGACACTACAGTGTCAAGTCACTCGTTTAGTTATGTGTTGTTACTTTTATATCTGTGAGGATCCCATGTTGACACCGCGGTGCATAGTTTGTTTTTTTCTTATATACAAGTTTGTGTTATTGTTTTATGTTTTGTGTTAGGACCCATTCATACTAGGAACGGCATGGGAACCGCACAGGAACTTGCTGTGTGTTCACATTCAGTTCTGTGCAGTGCAATTTCAGCTCATTCATTTTGAATGGGCTGAAATCGCACCATACCCACATCACAATCAAAGTAGTGCATGTACTACTTTTGGAAATGGACTGCAACCGGATTGCATGGTACTTTCGTGATCTGCGTTTGGTGTGTCAGTAACGAAGGATGGCTACAGCGCGGTTGTCTGGTTCTGGGACGATGTCCATGGACCTCATTCCAGAACATGCCCCCGCGCCCCCAGCGGCGCACACCCGGAGCCACCGGTGATTGCTGTGTCCAATGACACAGCAGATCACCGGGTAATTTCAGTTGCCAGTTATCGGCTGCACTTTTCTCATGCTGTCACAGCGTGAGGAAAGCACTGCTGATAACCGGCAATTGTCAGAGAAGTGATTGTCACTGATTATCAGGGCACTGATGATCAGTGGCCTGATGATCACTGCCCAGCAGTGCCGCCCACCTGTGCCACCCACCTGTACCCATCATTGCCGCCCACCTGTACACAACAGTGCCACCCACCTGTGCCCTGCAGTGCCACCCATCAGTGTTGCCCAGCAGTGCCACCCATCAGTGCTGCCCATCAATGCCGCCTATGAGTGCAGCATCATCAGTGCCAGCTCATCAGTGCCGCCTATCAGTGCCTCCTATCAGTGCCCATCAGTGCTGCCTATTCGTGCCACCTCATCAGTGCCCAGCAGTGCTGCCTATCAGTGCGGCCTCATCAATGCACATCAGTGAAGGAGAAAAATTTCCTGTTTGCAAATTTTATAATAGAAAATACCACCGATTAAATACCACCAAAAGAAAGTTCTATTTGTGTGAAAAATATGATAAAAATGTCATATGGATACAGTGTTGCATGACCTCACAATTGCATTCAAAGTGCGACAGAATTGAAAGCTGAAAATTGGCCTGGGCAGGAAGGGGGTATAAGTGCCCAATAGTAGAACTATAAGTTAAACTTTGTTTTTCATTTTAGATCGCACAAGGGAGGGTTATAACTATAATTCCTTGGGGACCCCCAGATCACCAGAACTAGTGTCCCCATTTCCCCTCTATTACATTTCAGAGGAAACCCAAAACTTGGGCGTTTTTTTACTTTCGCTTTCAATGATTATTATTATTATTATACAGGATTTATATAGCACCAACAGTTTGCTCAGCGCTTTTCAATATAAAGGGAGACAATACAGCAACAATACAGTTCAATACAAGAGGGTTAGGAGGGCCCTGCTCCTTGGAGCTTACAATCTAGGAGGGAGGGGCTGGAGGTACAAAAGGTAATAACTGTGAGGGATGGACTGGTAGGAGGAATAGAAGATTCCGTTATTAGCTGAAGGCAGGATAGGCTTCCCTGAAGAGATTTTCAGAGATCGCCTAAAAGTGGGCAGAGTAGGCGATAGTCTGATAGATTGGGGTAGAGAGTTCCAGAGGATGGAGGAGGCTCTGGAGAAGTCCTGGAGACGAGCATGGGAGGAGGAGACAAGGGAGCTAGAGAGTAGGAGGTCATGGGAGGAGCAGAGAGTTCGGTTTGGGTGATATTTGGAGACAAGATTGATGATGTAATTTGGGGCAGAGTTATAAATGGCTTTATACGTTATTGTTAATGTTTTGAATTTTATTCGTTGGGCAGCGGGGAAGCCAGTGGAGGGATTGGCAGAGAGGGATGGCAGATATGGAATAATTGGTAAGGTGCATGAGTCTGGCAGCAGTATTCATGACAGACTAAAGAAGGGATAGCCTCTGGGATGAGGTAGGCCAATGAGGAGGGAGTTACAATAGTCAAGGCGAGAGATAACAAGGGAGTGAATAAGTTGCTTAGTGGTTTCCGTGGTTAGGAACGGGTGTATCTTGGAGATGTTGCAGAGGTGAAGTCTACAAGATTTGGACAGTGATTGGATTTGGGACTGGAAGGACAGATGGGAGTCTATTATTACACCTAGCACCCTGGCATGAGGGGAGGGACTGATGGTTGTATTATTGATCTTGATGGAGAAGTCAGGGGAGGGGGCACGGGCTGAAGGGAAAACTAAGAGCTCAGTTTTGGAAAGATTGAGTTTGAGGAAGTGGAGTGACATCCATGCCGATTAGTAGTAGGTTAGTAATACGAGTAATGATAATGGTAAACAGGACAAATAGAAAGAGTGAATCTCTAACGGTGGCACAGACAGCAATAAAAAACTGACAGGTGTTCCAATCCCTCTCCACTCTATCCAAAACAATAAAAAAAGTTTTTCATTTAAAAACTTTGCACTGACACTTTGAACAGGTCCTGGGTGCAGTTTAATCCCTTGGGTAAGTTGGTTTGTGTCGTGTGAGTGCTTCAAACTGGCTTCAGGACCGTCCAGAAATGTACTGTGCCTGGGACCACTTGGAAGGGTCAATCATCTGGTATCATGCCGGAGCACAGTTTCCCCCCATAGAGCACTGTGTAATGAACAAGAATCACTGGTCTGGTTAGCAGGGGACTGTGTCTGGGAACAGTTCCTTAGAGCCCTGTTCAAATTGGTGCGCTGCAGCTTTTATGCGTTACATTTTTATATGTGTTTTAGGTGCGCTGTCTTTAACCACTTGCCTACATGGCACTTATACCCCCTTCCTGCCCAGGCTAATTTTCAGCTTTCAGCGCTATCGCACTTTGAATGACAATTGCATGGTCATGCAACACTGTACCCATATGAAATTTTTATCATTTTTTTGAGACAGATAGAGCTTTCTTTTGGTGGTATTTAATCACCTCTGGGTTTTTTATTTTTTGCTAAACAAACCAAAAACAACTGCATATTTTGAAAAAAAAATATTTTTTTCTTAGTTTTTGTTTTAGAATTTTGTAAATAATTGATTTTTCTCCTTCACTGATATGCGCTAATGATTCTGCAGTGATGGGCACTGATAAGTGGCACTGATAGGTGGCACTGATGAGGAGGCACTGGTAGGTGGCACTGATGGGCATTGACAGGCATCACTGATGGGCACTGAAAGGCAACACTCATATATGGCACTAATAGGCGGCACTGACAGGTGGCACTGATAAGCGGTACTGACTGGCACTGATAGGTGGCACTGTTAGCTGGCACTGACTGGCACTGTTAGGCAGCACTGACGGGCACTGATAGTCAGCACTGATGCACACTGATAGTCGGCACTAACTGGCACTGATAGGCGGCACTGACTGGCACTGATAGGTGACACTGATTGGCAGCTCAGATGGGCACTGATATGTTGCATTGATGTGCACTGGTAGGTACTGATATATGGCATTGATGTGGCACTGGCACGTGGCACTGATGAGCACTGACAGCTGGCATTGATGGACACTGACAGGTAACACTGCTGGGGCTACACTGATCATCAGTGCTCTGATGATCAGTGTACATGTCCCCTCCAAGGAATGCCGATTACCGGCTCTCCTCTCCAGCTGTCAGCATGACAGCTCGTGAGGAGAGAAATGCCGATAACCGGCATTTCCCTATTTACATGGGATCAGCTGTGATTGGACACAGCTGATCACATGATCGAGCTGAAATCTTCGGCTCTTTCCGTTGATCGGTGATCCGCTGTGTCCGAGGGACACAGCGCACCGCCGATCGCTGCGCTGCGTGCTCCCAGAGCCGTGCATGCGCGGTTAGAATGGGATCACGTCATGTGACGTCGTCCCAGAACGAGAGAACCGCCTTGCGCCCGTCATTTCCTTATATGGCGGGCGAGAGGTGGTTAATCTCTATTAGAACATGCATTTTCATGAAAGGACATCAAAATCCTGCATACTGCATCATTGATGTGATTTCATAAAATGTGTTTTAATAGAGTTTAATGGCAGTGCACATAAAAATACATGTAAAACACACATAAAAACGCAAAGAGGAAAAACTTCACCACATTGAAACTGGTGTACTAGTTCAGTGTGAGTGCAGACCACTGCAGGGAAAGGGGGAAGAATCAAACTCGGGTTAAAGTGGAACTAAACCCTCCTATACTTTACAGCAAAGGAAGCTACAAGCTTAGCCTCTCTTTGATCTGCAATTGCCATGGTGCTGCACATGTGATCAGTTATGACACCAGCCATTTGATGGCTTGACAGTTTAGTTGAGAGAACAAGCAACTGTGACAGTTATCATTCACGTCATGCCTTGAATCCAATTGTTTTTGAGGAACCATTAAATCTATAGGTTCAGCTCTGCTTTCATCGGCCCCAGGGTGAATGCACCCTTAATTTAATGCTATGAACATGATAGGAGCGCTCCATCGTACACGTTTAGGTTTATATGACTTGTGGGTTTATGACAAATGTAGCAGCTAGGGGTTAATGTTTTCATTTGTTAATTTCCCGATGTACGCAGGTTTTACATTGCTGTGCTGTGGTTTAGGTGCAGTACAGGTGTACCCATGTTTTTTGTGCAATTAAACCGTAATAGTAATAACAGTAAAAAGGTGAGATCCGAGCATGTAAGCCCTTTACAAAATAATCTAGAGTGGGTGACTGGGGACAGAGAGAAGGGTAATGTATTAAATACCTTCTTCAGCTCTGTGTATACAAAGAAGCATGGGGGAGCTCTTGTCCATTATGGCCAGATGATCCACATTGGCTCACAACTGATATGATCCAAAAATATTACAGAATAAAGGTGAATAAAGCACCTGGACCAGATGGCATACACCCACGGGTTCTTAATGAATTGAGCTCTGTCATTTCAAAGCCATTGTTTCTAATTTTAGGGACTCTGTAATGACTGGCATAGTACCACTGGATTGGCGTAAGACCAGTGTGGTGCCAATATTTAAAAAGGGGTCAAAATCTTTACCAAGTAATTATAGACCTGTTAGTTTAACTTCTATAGTTGGGAAGATACTGGAGAGTTTATAAAAGACCACATAGATGAGTTCTTGCTGGAAAAAAATATTTTAAGCAACAGACAGTATGGATTCATGAAAGATAGAAGTTGTCAAACAAATCTGATTTCTTTTTATGAGGAGGTGAGCAAAACCTTGGACAGAGGGGTGGCTGTGGACATAGTATACTTGGATTTTGCAAAAGCGTTTGACACAGTTCTCCATACATGGCTTATGTGTAAGGTAAAGTCTACAGGCTTGGAAAAATCTGTATATAAATGGATAGAAAACTGGCTAAAAGATCATATTCAGAGAGTAGTGGTTAATGGTTCATACTCTGAATGGTCTAGGGTTGTCAGTGGTGTACCCCAAGGTTCAGTGTTGGGACCCTTACTTTTTAATATATTTATAAAACGATATAGGGTCTGGGATTAAAAATACCATTTCAGTCTTTGCAGATGACACCAAGCTGTGCAGTGGAATAACGTCCTTACAGGATGTCTTCAACTTACCAGCCAACCTCAATGCACTGTTTAATTGGGCAACTATGTGGCAAATGAGGTTTAATGTTGATAAATGTAAGGTTATGTATTTGGGGGCTAAGAATATGCATGCATCATACATACTGGGGGGGGGGGTACAACTGGGGAAATCAATGGTGGAGAAGGATCTGGGAGGTCTGGTAGATCACAAGCTTAATAATGGCATGCAATGCCAAGCTGTGGTTTCTAAAGCGAGCAGCAGAGAGAGAGATATCATTGTACAAATCATTAGTAAGACCTCATCTGAAATATGTAGTTCAGTTTTGGGCACCAATTCACAAAAAGAACATTGGGGAACTGGAGAAAGTACAGAGAAGGGCAACCAAACTGATACGAGGCATGGAGGAGCTCAGTTATGAGGAAAAATTAGAGGAAATGGATTTATTCTCTCTTGAGAAGAGGAGATTAAGGGGGGATATGATCAACATGTATAAATACATCAGTGGTTCAAATAGTGAACTTGGTGTAGAGCTATTCACCCTGAGGTCATCACAGAGGACAAGGGGTCACTCTTTACGTCTGGAGGAAAAGAAATGTAGTCTCCATACACAGAAAGGTTTCTTCACAGTAAGAGCTGTGAAAATGTGGAATAGACTCCCTCAAGAGTTGGTTCTTGCCAGCTCAGTGGATTGTTTTAAAAAAAGGCCTGGATTTTTTCCTAGATACACACAATAAAACTGGATACTAACATTTATTGGTAAAGTTGATCTATTGTAAAGTTGATCCAGGGAATATGCAATTGCCTCTTGGGGGATCAGGAAGGAATTTTTTCCCCTGCAGGAGCAAATTGGATCATGCTTTGCTGGGTTTTTTTGCCTTCCTCTGGATTAACTCTGGGTGTAGGGTTCTAACTTTTTTTTTTTTTTTTTAATGGTTTAACTGGATGGACTGTTTTTTCAGCCAGACTAATTATGTAACTATATGTAACTATGTAAAACCGTGGTTTGCAGTAAACTTTTTTAAAAGATTGTGCATTTTTGTGTGTGTTTTCTGAAAGCGCACCAAAAGTTCTGCAGATTTATAACACCCCAAGCAATCAATCTATTAGAAAGTCTATAGGAGACTGCAGGTTGACCACATAAGAACCGAGGATACACCTGTTCTGTGGCCAAACCACAGCCCAGCAGTGTGAAACCGGCCTTAGCGCAGAATGGGGAGATTTATTACATTTAATGGAGAAGTGTGGGGTTCTGAAAAAAAACAAACTTTCATACTTGCGAACTCTCTAAGCCAGACAACTAAGCAGTCACATGACTGCTGATCGCTCACTTCTCGGTCAGCTCTGAGCAAAGAGTGGTAATTGTCAGTCACCAATGTGTGCTCTGCCCCTCCAGTGCTCACTGGAGCGCCGAGCTAGTGAGGGGGTGGGCTTGCGGGGGTGAGAGCTCAGGCAGCTGGTAGAATCCCAAGAATATGCGGCAGTGGGCTTTAGCTTTGGCCATACTCTTTTATGGCCGCGTTCACGTCCACACACAACCCACGTTCCATGCGCTTTTCACGAAAAATGCACTGCACTTACGATCTCCAGAGGGTGTCAGTGTTAATAACACCCTAAATGCAGGTCACAAACACAGTGCGTTTGCCTGCACCAGACCACATGGTACAGTAGTACCACGGGATCTGTTCACTGTGGGTTTTAGTGCCGGTTCACACCATGAATTGCACAGAAAATGTGTTGTGCATTCCTGTCAGGAATGGACTTGCCAATAATGGTGGGACTCACCTGCCTTGTGGGCTGCAGTACCAGGGCTGGCCAGCGGGTGCTCTCAGCAATCAGAGACTCACCCCTGCAATCAGCCAAACACATGAAGCTGATTGCAGGGGTTGTATTTAAGGAATGGCCAGACTCACAGTCAGGGCCTTGGTGTGTGTTTTTCCATGGGCCCCTGTACCTTGTATCCTGTATTCCTGTTCCTGTTTGACTTGTTGCCATCCCTGCCTGATCCTGACCTCTGCTGACTTCTGCTTGATCCCTGGCTTTGGACCCTGACCATTCTCTGCCTGACCCTCTGTACCGCGCTGCCCGTGAGTTACTGAACCCAGCTTGTGACCCCGACCACTCTCTCCCGCCTGTTCCTGGTACTCCGTTTGCCCGTTTGCTACTGACCCGGCCTGCCTGACTACTCTTTGTATTGTATGTATTGTTATCGGTGGGTGGTTTGGTTTGGTTTGTTTGCACTGTGTTTATGTTTAGTTTTGCACTGCATTTTGTATTGTTAGTCTTAATAAATTATATTGTTTATACCATATCTGAAGCCTGCGTTTTCCCTGTGTCAGTCCACACCCCTCTGGTCATACCTGGAGCCCTGACAATTCCTGTGCAATTCACATGCGATCTAGGTGCAGTGCGATTTCAGCCCACTCATTTGAAGGGAATGACATTGCGCTAGACCACAGCAAAATTAGTGCATGTACTACTTTATAAAATGCACAGCAACTGGATTGCATGGTGCTACTATATCATGTGATTCAATGCAGGCAAATGCACTGTGTCTGCAACCTACAGGAAGGGATGAGAGAGGAGAGTTGTGTTTTAAATTGCACTGAAAATTGGGCATGGCTTAAAAGGGGTGTGGTTAAATAGTGTCTGAGATGACTTATATAATGCAGAATGAGATAATGTTAAATAGGGAATGTACAGTGTGGAGAGTATGACAGTGGGTTGTATGTACAGGGAGAGGACTGCGGAGTGTATGCTTTGGGTAGTATGTGTAGGATGGTGTCAGTAGGTGGTGTCAGTAATTCTTCATTTTTATTAGTATTATTTTATTCGTTTTACAATTTTATGATTTTTTTTTACAAATTAATGTTTTATTATTTTTATAATTTTTTTTTAAAATGGTTTTGGGTGGCCAGTTGATGGTTTCAGTAGAGCAATGGTGTGGGTGTCAGAATTTTTTAATTTTTATTATCTAATGTTTTAATTATTTTTTACAATTTATTTCTGTATTATTTTTTTTACAATGATTTTTTGGGGGCAGTGGACAGTATCAGTAGGGAGTGAACAGGGAGCACTAGTATATGTTTGGGCTGCCATTAGATTGGGATGAATAAACAGAACCTGTACCCTCTTATATCGGAAGGAAGGGAAGGGAAAGGAAGGGAAAGAAAAGAAGGAAGGAAGAGGGGAGGGAGGGAAGGAAGGAA